TAATTCAGCCCGTTATAGAAACAGCAACCGTGAAAGGAATTGACTGTCACCGGTATTTGTATCTGTCAGCCATATTAATACATTATTGCTTCAAAGTATGAATAATATTCAGCTTTTACAAACCAAAATGACCCTAAGAAGGTTGACTAATCTTTGCTCCTGCATTGGTTGGTCAAAATCTATCGATCAGGTGTACCATGCAGCCTCTAATGTAATTTCATATTAGTTTGTTTATTAGATGTATCACACAGTGAAACAGTCAGTATTATTTACTGGATGACGTTTCGAACAAAACTGTCGGCTAAAGGATCATTTGAAACAAAACAATTTAGTTTATCTAATACCCTGCTTGAATGATTGCCAAGTCAAATACATACGTCAAAGTGGTAGAACAGGGTCAGTGAGACAAGCGGAGCACAAAAAGCTAGCAAAATCTAGATTAGTTGACTCGAATAAGATAAGAAATCTAGAAAATAGTTCAGCTATAGCATTACACAACCATACAATAGGATGGGATAGGATGACAGTTTTAAAATCTAATGTCACAGAGTGGAGGGAGAGATTGATAAGAGAAGCTTTGTTTATCAAATCAACTGCAAATACGTGTAATAGGAATGATTCAACACCTGTTCACCCAGATATCTGGAAAATCCTACAACCCCTAAGACAAATAGAAGGGAACAAAGAAGACTATAAAACTCAAGTGTCAAAGTCGTGTGATTACAATTGATGTGATTGTGAACAATAAATCTTGTTCGAAACGTCATCCAGTAAATAATACTGTTTCATTGTGTGATACATCTAATAAACAAACTAATACGAGTCCTAAATAGGATGAAATGCGCATCTTGGATTCCACTGCTAGTCACCATCCACAAATTAAATTTTAATTAAATGCCCAGATATCGTCGACGCATCTGCACAAGAAGCCGACATGTCAACTTGAGACCGAGCACTTCGGTCCAATCAATCGACTGGAAAATCTAAAATTCAATTAAATAATTAATATGACCCGTTGCACAAGAGGTGGCTCTTGTGGCCAAAGTGGTCTAGTGGATAACGCTTTGGCGTTTGAAACTATGGGTACTGGGTTCGAGTCTCGGTGGGAAAATCATCACTCACTGGGAAATGCAGGTACATCCAGCTGGCGAGTCCCAAATAGGACGAAATGCGCATCCTGGTGGATTCCACTGCTAGTCACCATCCACAAATTAATATGGAATTACTTACTACCACAGTGCCCAAGTTTTACACATACATTAATAAGCCTCTAATGTAATTAATACAGAACAGTTGCGAGTCATATTGTATATCAGCAACCATTCAGAGGAAAATACCCATATATACAGTTCATTCTAGTGACTTCACTATTAGTTCAGCTGCCGGAACAAACTTCATTGACATACACGTCCTTAAGAGAAAACTTTCAGCATCCTTGAGGAGAAGAGTAGTATTCTCCAACCGCCTATTGGTCAGCAGAAGCCTTAAGGACAAGGTCTTTCATCTGATCACTTCTATGTGGATATATCAGTTCACTTGTTGGTGTGCATTCAGGTAGTATATTGGTCATTCGACGCGTATGTTGTCTATAAAAGGGTTGAAGAACACTATCCTGAATGGCTGTATAAGGAGTGCAATAATTGAACACCTCGTCAACACACTAATCATTCCATCTCAATAAACGCCTCCTCCTCCCGCTTCAAAGTAATCTACAAAAAGTGTAGAATAACCTGACAAAGGCAATAACGCTTTCTTCCCCTTTGTATTGATGAAGCTTTAGACATTCATTTAGAAAAACCCGAGTTATGCATACAAAAGAAAATTATTCAACTACTTCGACTATCACATGCTAACAACCTTGATTTGGTTTTCCAACTCTAGAATAGCTAAAGAGTGGAAAAAGGGATTCGCCGGAAAGAGCCTCTTCACTGAACTACACAGTTCTTCGTCTTCTTTTCATTAATACACAGAATTGTATTCTCACTTTGGAGAGTATGAAAGAATCATAAATATAACCCAGTTCCACGACAATCATCTCCACAATAAAAGCGGAAATCCACAAGCAACTGATGATAAGGGAATACTTCTTTTTCTATATCACAATATTGATTTCCTCTCATCAGTATGCTTTCTAAAGCAACACTAAAACGAATTAACCATGAAATAAGACAACAAATTGGTGAGATATACAACCACCCGTTTCTACTTATATTTCTTACTGTTTCTCAACGACTTTTATTAAAGGCACTTGTAAGACAATACGTCGTGTAAACGTTAATTGTCTTCTTCCAAAATTTACTACAAGTATTAGTGCAAATATTGGAATGGTAATCAAACCTCTACCTCAACTTTATAGACTTTGAGAAGGCCTTCGACAGCGTTGACCGCGAAGTAATTTGGAAACTCCTCAAGTACTACGGCGTACCCCAAATATTCATCAACTTTATTCAACAGCTGTATGACAACGGCACATGTCAAGTGATCTACAACGGAAAACTCAGCGAGGCGTTTGGAGTAAACACAGGAGTCAGACAAGGGTGCTTATTATCACCAATGATATTCCTAATTGTGGTGGACTGGATTATGCATCAGACAGTGGGGAACGAGAAGACAGGGATTTCCTGGACCGACGTGAAGAACCTAGAAGACCTGGATTTCGCGCGTGGATGATTTATGTTTGACGTCACACAAAATCGAAGACTTACAAGCGAAAACCGACAAACTGGTCAAAGAAGCAGCAAAGACAGGACTCCAGGTGAACATAGACAAGACAGAGGTGATGAAAATAACCAACCAACAACAGCAGCAGCAACATCCACCGCTAATCACCATCAACCGGGGGAGGGATTTGAAAGAGGTTACTTCATTCACCTATTTAGGGAGCATTGTCTCAACTACAGGAAAAACGGACGAAGATGTCAAATCGAGCGAGAATCGGGAAGGCGAGAAACACATTCATCAACCTGAAACCAATCTGGAAATCTTCGTCACTCAACTCAGCATCAACAACAAAATGATTCGGATTTTCAATACAAAAGTCAAGTCACTTCTTCTATACGGATCAGAAGCTTAGCGGAGGGTCACAAAGAATATTTCCAACAGGTTGCAGACCTTTATCAACAGCTGTCTACGTTCTATAATCAAGATCAGATGGCCGGAAAGAATCACCAACAAGAAACTAAGGGAACAAACAAAACAAGAATCAATCGCCCAACAAATATGTGGGAGAAAGTGGAGATGGACTGGACACTCGCTGAGGAGGCCGCTGGGTGACATCGCGCGTCAAGCCCTCGAGTGGAACGCGAAAGGGAAGTGGCGAGTGGGACGTCCAAGGGTGACATGGAGGAGATCGTGTGAAGAGGACCTGAAACAGTATGGACTAACATGGATGCAGGTTAAAAGTACAGCGGAAGACAGAAGTAAATGGAGACGTGCAGTTGAAGCCCTATGTTCCACTAGGAACCCAAGGGAACAATAATAATAATAATAATTAGTGCAAATATCAGTCACACAGTACAAATTTATTGCGTATTCTGAGGCATAAGCAGTAATGTAAGCGTATGCACCACTTCTGGGTGTCACTAAAGGGCAAAGCCGACACTGGTACTGTTAACAACTAACAGTACAACAGTAGTCAAATTCTAGTGAAAAGTCCTCATTAGTAGGGGCCCGCCCTCCTAATCGGGAGTGAGGATAAATACTCACCACCGATGACTTTGGCTGGAAGTGGTAGTAGCGTTAGAATTCATGGACTGGCCATTGAGGAGTTGGGTCCCAGTGGTTAAATGGTCTACAAGCTCGCCTTAAAACCGAAATGTTCTGAGTTTTGAACTTTGGAGGTGGGTGCGAACTGCCAATGAGTCCCAAACAAAACTAGGAGGGAGGGAACAGCCAGCTGTCCAGTACCCTCTGATGGTTTTCAACGTGCGCTTCTCTAACCGATATCAATCCCTGATCAAATTTAAAAAAGTCTAGTACTTGAGCTACTTAGCTATGCCAATCTTCGTATGTTTGGCATGCGATTCGCCCCCCGTAAATGTAAGATGATGCTGCAGGATTGGACTACACCGACCCCTAGATTATAAATAGGAAGTGAAGTGATAGAGCACGTTGACCGCTTCACTTATTTGGGAAGTACCATCAGCCCCAACGGGTTGATCTCTGACGAAATCTCAGTACGAATACAGAGGGCTAGTTAAGCATATGCAAGTTTACGCAGTGTCTCTGGCGTAGACGTGATATCCGACTATCGACCAAAGGGCGTGTGTACTGCTCAGCCGTCCGCTCCGTCCTCCTTTATGGCTGTGAGCGAGACATGGCCATTGAGAGCGGAAGACAAGGAAAGATTAGCTGTCTTCGATCATAGGTGTCTGCGTTTAATCTCCCGTGTGAAGTGGTATAATAAGGTGAGCAATATTGAGGTTAGGCGTCGAGTGGTAGGTAAGGCAGGGAAATCAGTCGACGAGACTGTGAAATTACACCAACTGAGATGGTTAGAACATGTGTTACGTATGCCTAGTCATCGCCTTCCTCGACGGAAAATGTTAGCTCATATAGGGTCAGGCTGGAAAAGAGCTAGCGGCGGTCAAACCAAAACATGGCACCAGTCAATGAAATCTACAACAGTTAGTCTAAGCCACGTAGGAAGGTGTAGACTCCCTGGTTGGGGTCCTCGGGACGGTAAAAACAAATGGCTAAAACAATTGGTGACATGGCTCAAAATCGTTCTCAGTGGCGCAGATGCATCCACTCCTTGTGATTTATGATTTCCAATGAAACTGTTTTGTTCTTCGTTATTACTATACCTTTGTCTCACACCTCTGTTTACTGTCTATATTATGCATTTCTTCTACTTCCTTCTCTTGCTTTGCGTGCTACATGGATTGTGGCGACTTGAACTGCCGCACATATGTGCAAAGTTCTATGTCGAAAACAGACAGGCTATCTAACACCCCCACCCTGCACATCTACACACTTGATGCTTATCATCTGAAAACAATTTTATATACAAAACATTGTATACATCTCAAATTTATTCATTACTAAATCTCTTCAGTCATTATTATTGTCATTATTATAAGTGACTTTGTATCCATCCAACAATTACAATGATAATAAATACGAATAACTGACAACATCTGACAACTTCATTTCTCTTTCAAAATGTTTTATAATACATATTTTTACGAAAGAGAGAGAGAAAGAAAGAAAAAAGAAAACAAAACTGAAGAAAATTTTTTCGATAAAAAAGGAAAGATTGATAAAATTACAAAATGAAATATAGTTAAAGGAAAATGAGGCGTAGTACTAGGGTACCGTACACTCTCTACACACACTACCAAAAGAGAAGTAGTAAAAATGATTTGAGTGAATATTGTCAAGTAACATGGGCAAATAAATAAATACGCAAAACTGTATGTATACACACACACAAACTGTTTTCAATTTGGCCGCGCCTTACAACCCAAATTTATTTTAATTGGAGGCAACAAAAAAAATAGAAAACGCATTGACGATTAAGTTGATGATGGCGGTGAACGATGCTAGGGCATCTATCTATCTCTACACAAACAACAGGTGGTTGTTGGTAGGTGTCTCCTCTTTCGTGCATATATAACAAGCATATATCATTGAACTTCCTGAACACACACACACACACACACCTGAATGTAACGAAAGATTAAAGGTTACAGGGAATGGGGAAAGCATCAAGAGAGAAACAGAAACAACACAGTACAGTACAGTGTGAAATTTGAATTCAAATTACACTTGTACAAGTCTGTTTGTCTAATTTTCTATAATAGGTGTACTATTTTAGTCTATTTATGATCCAGATGAAATATTTACTATTATTATTAGTAGTAGTAGTATCAATATGAATACAGATCAGTTCATGATGAAGAAGATTATTGAGTGCAGGATAGTAATTTCTACATGTATATGTAAGTGTATGTATGTATTTGTGCTTTGTGCGAGCTATTTCACCAGCCAAACTAGCTGGATCCAGCTTCCGTGTACTTTGACTGAAATACACACAGGCTTGGAAACGGACACGGGCACACATGTTGGTTATAAACAAGGCATCGTAGTCACACAAAAAAAGAAAAATAACAAAGAAGGTAAGTCGAATACAAGATAAAAATTAAACATTTTTTAACTCACATACACAACATAATGGTCCATTATTATTTCAGGTAGAACTTCTCAAAATAGATTGGATTTTTTTATGCATTGACTGTTGCACTAACACGTGTGCAAAGGATACAAAGGATATGTAAATGTTTGTGCAATATATATGTATGTGTATGAGACAAGAAATTTCTAAACTATTCTTTCTCTTTTTGTAATAATAACACATGAGTAAATGATCCCGTAAAGGAGAAGAACGATAAGGTTAAACCAAAACAGAACTCTGGCACACACAGAGAGTGAAAGAGGGACATAAAGTCAATTTTTTTCGATATATCATCATTATGGGTATATGGGTTAAAAAAACACAAAACAAGGGAAAAGAAATCAAGATTATTACAAGTTCTACAATTAATTTTTTGTGCAGGCAATCCCACCGACTTACTTACTTACTCACGTACGTACGTAGGTAAGTCATACCGCGTGACATAATCATAGTCCAAGAAACACAACAAATAAAACAGATATATGCAAAAGACTGGAGTAGAAGGAATGAGAAAATAATAATAGTAATAATAATAATAATAGTAATAATGGTCACTGGGCACATTTACAATTGATTATCGCAGCTACCTTTGGCTAGTCGATATTGAGCAATCTCTAGAATACCATTCAAATGTACTAAGGCAGCTAGTACAACAAATACATGGAAGATTTGATGACTTTGAAACTGAAAATAAAATAAAAACAATAATAATAATAAGAAATTGAGTAGAAATAAAAAATAATAATATTTTGAAATGATAAAGTTATGTTGTTTTTGTTTATTTTTGCTATAATTTACGAAAATAAAATCTCTGATATATTTCGTCATACAGTAAAGTATATGCACTTTGACATCAATGCAGAGCTTATTTATCTAAGCGCCTCTTGCAACTTATCAATATATCTGAGCAACAAAGTATCAAGTAGATCGATAGATCTTCTTGGTTTGCAGGGATTTGATTGGTTACAGGTTTGATTGGGAGTGGAAAACCAGGGAGTACTGGGTAGTTATTTCCACCGTCGTAGTTTGGGACTCTTATGGGGTTCGAATCCAAGGCGTGCTCATTCAGCCACTGGGATCCGATCCAATGGCCAGTACATGAATTTCAACTTCCACCGATTCGCGATATCTATGTAGCGCAACCTCCGGTCAGTGTCATAGGCGGATAACTGATCCCTTACCTGATTTGGTGGATCGAGCTGACCCCGGTGGCTGATGAATGGTCTACGAGCTCGCCTTGAAACAGCAAGGTCCCGGGTTCGACCCTTGGAGATGGGTGCGTACTACCGATGAGTCGAAAACTAGGAAGGCGGAAACAACTGCCCAGCACTCCCAGGTTTTCCAACAGTCCTCTAACTGATGTCAACTCGTGATCAAACCTGTAGCCGCCAATCAAATCCCACTCTGCAAACCAACACTTGATAACTTAGAGATGATTGTCAATTCCGGCTTTCGGTCGGTCGGTTTTCGACATAGAACTTTGCACATATGTGCGGCGGTTCAAGTCGCTACACTCCATGTAGCACACAAAGCAAGAGAAGAAAGTAGGATAAATCCATAATATAGACAGTAAAGAGAGGTGTAAGACGAAGAACAAAAGTTTCATTGGAAATCATGAGTCACAAGGAGTGGATGCATCTGCGCCACTGAGAACGATTTTGAGCCATGTCACCAATTGTTTCCAGCCTTTGGTTTTTACCGTCCCGAGGACCCCAACCAGGAAGTCTACACCTTCCTACGTGGCTTAGACTAACTGTTGTAGTATCACGTCCATTTACCTCAAGGATAAAAAGTACATCTGCTTAACACCCTTGGATCGTTCCGCACAACCTACGACATAAACTTATTACCATTTGGCAATCGATTCATGTTTGACAAAAGAGCTAGGTAGCTTGGTGTATTTAAAAGGACGGGTACAGCGCAACCATGTCCCAGTCCAAGTCTACTATTTTTGGTGAAACCATATGTGACAGATACGCAAAAAAAACTACTCAATGAGGCTTCGGTACCATTTGCGATATTTTGACTTTTTCTGTAAATAATATCAACTAAATTAGGACTAGGTGGGAAAGGTGGATAGACCAATGAATAGCACTAATCCATGAAGTCTTCAAATGCTAGTAAGTCCAAAAATTTATTTTCCCTGACTGTACCGAAACAGATCATAGGAAGTATATCTGTTCACAGATAATCATCCTGAAAATCACATCTGTTAGACATTTACCTCGCCTCAAGCACCCACTTTTACTCAGTGTAAAGTTGGGCAAGGAGGGAAAATCAATCGACGAGGTTATAAAGTTACATAGATTGAGATGGCTAGGTTACGTGCTGCGCATGCCTAACCATCGCCTCCCACGACGGGCATTACTAGCTGATATAGGTGCAGGTTGGAAAAGAGTAAGCGGTAGCTAAACAAAAACATGGTATCAATCCATGAAATCCTTGACAGTTAAACTGAGTCAGATAGGGAGATGCAGACTTCCGGGTTGGGGCCCTCGGAACTCTAAGAATCAATGGTTGGAGACAATAGGCGACATGGCTCAAAATCGTTGTCAATCTCCATAATCTTTCACATTCCTTTCTACCACTACTGATTCTGTTTCACTCGTATACTTGTCAAAACTCTATTGATTCTCTTCACTCATCTTCTTGTCTACCTTTGTGTGCTATTTGGAACGTGGCAACTCGAACTGTTGCACTTCGGTGCCAAGTTCTATGTTGAATCCAGACAGACAGACTTAACTTACTTATGACACGATTCCATAGTCTATTGTCCAAAGCCAAAGAAATTTGATGACTTGAAGTGCTGCAGTTTAACGCGCATATCCCTAGACATCAAATTTCTTCATCAACCAGCTTGTTTCTGTCTTTACACTTGCTTTATCACAATTTTAGCCATCGGTTTACATAATTATCAAATGAATATATAAAAATCTTACATCCATAGGCTACAACAGTTACTTTCAGCGAAAATATCTCACAGTCGTAAAGTAATGGTACACCGAACTGCTCCGAAATGCATACAACACTACTTATTATTATTTGATTATTTTGCGTTCCCAGTGGAACATAGGGCTACAACAAGATTGAGTTTTGAATTTTCGGTAGCAGTGGTTCTACTTTTACGGCGCGAGGTTGCCAGTCTCACACCAAACCTTCCCTCTTTTTCCAGGGATTGTTACCAGCTTAACGAGGTCTACGTGTGTGTTGATCGGGGATCGAACGCCGAACCATATACACAGTTGGAGGGCATTCTACCCCGTGAACCACCGACACACTTTATGCATACAACACAGAAGATATAAAATGTTTTAAATCAGTGGGGAAGTTGGATAACAAAGACAGAGAGAGAAAGAAAAGGGGAATTTCTAGTTTGCCTCAAATCCCTTTTTGATACTCGTGAAATAATTTATTAAATAATATTTTCTCAAAAATATAGTAATAATTATGAAGGCCTTCTTCTCCAATCGATCTTCAAATGGTTTAAGTGATACGAAATGTTATGTTGTAACACACATAACAACAATACCTTTATACCTCTGCCTAGACAGTCATCAGTGAAAAACAACAAAATCTCTCTGTCTCCCTATTCATTCAGCAATCGATAAAAAAACGTAGTGGTAAGCGCAAACGTCACAGATTAAAGAAAAAAATACTTCACTAAAACCGTTTATGATATAGAGTTGTAGGCAATGCTTCATCTTAAGTTATTCTTTTTTATCAATGTCCAAGGTTGGAATTGAAGAAAAAACAAGCAAGCAAAGCAAATAAGTTTTCGAATTGTCTAGACGGATAAACTATAAAACCCACACTTGAAAACACTCAACTTAATCAAACTGTTGGTCTCTTTTAATACCCTACAGATGATATGCAGACGACACTTTTGCTGTGATGATGATAGTACTTCAGGATATGCTGCTGACACTCAACAACTTTCATCCATCCTAACCTTAGAAAAAAGGAATCTGACCTCGGCATTTCTTTTCTTGATGTATTTCCCACAAGACGTAGTAACACCGGACCTCTTCAAAGATCTATCCACCGAAGGTGTACATGGGATAGACAAGATACTAGTTAATTTCTATAGTTGGGTGTTTATTTCTAAGAAGAGAAATCTTCTTCATTCCCTCTGGTACTCTGTGCCGACGCATAACTTTCTTTCCTAAAATCCACACGGACTGAAAATGGTCGCCTAAACAGAAAACGCGAAAGATAAACATTCTAATAAACTGGTAGCTAACTCTCTTCCAAAGAGAAAACTATATTCATGAATCTGGAATTCAAGCGTGATCGATGAGATTTTAGATATGCTCAGAAAATGTCGTTTCTAACTAAACCAGTCAGTAAGACGTTATTAGCGATAGAACTCCAAATGACTTTCACCAGGCAAAGGTTGTTCTCTGTCTATGTAAAAGATAAGCTCACTCGTTAGGCCACCGCCATGTGTATCTATCGGTTCACCTGCTCTTGTGTGTAACGAGATATATCGGCTGAAGTATTGTTGTTTAAATTTTGTCGCTAATGCGATAAAAATTGATTTAAAAAACATCAAGGAATTTCAAGTATCTGACGTCGTAATTCTTCACACAAATATGCACGACCAGTGGTCATTCGCAGACTTGACAGTGAAGCAGGTATCTCACAGGAAGACTAAATTTATTATCCAGTTTTATGTAAACCTAATTAGGTGGATCGGTATCCACATCTACGAACTGCATGTGATAAAGGTGAATGGAAGACATGAAAAGGCTAGTTGTCTTTGATCATAGCTGCGTGAGTTCTATCTCCTGTGTGAAGTGGTATAATACGGTGAGGCGTTGAGTGCTAGGTAAGGAGGGGAAATCAATAGACGTAGCTGTGAAGTCACATCGACTGAGATGGTTAGGACATGTGTTACGCATGCCACCTGACCATCGCCTTCCTCGACGGTCAATGTTAGCTGACATAGGATGGATCAGGTTGGAAAAGAGAGAGCTAGTGGTGGTCAAACCAACCCATGGCTTCATAAGTCAATGAAATCCACAACAGTTAGTTTAGGGAGATGTAGAGTGCTGTCTAGTCGGGATCCTCGGGATGGTAAAAACCAATGGCTGGAGACAATTGGTGATATGGCTGGAAATCGTTCTCAATGGCTGGTGCAGATGCATCCACTCCTTGTAACTTATAAATTCCAATGAAACTATATTGTTCTTCGTCATTACCCTTCCTTTCGTCTCATATCCCTGTCTACTACCTCTATTTTGCATTTCTTCTACTTTCTTCTCTTGCTTTGTGTGCTACATGGAGTGTGGCGACTTGAACTGCCGCACATCGGTGCAAAGTTCTATGTTGAAAACAGACAGACCGACAGAAAAGGTGAGTGTCGATATAAATACTACTGCGGCTATGGCTCTATATGCAAGAATCATCTTAGTAAATTCCTCTGACACACTGATGAGTTGAACAGTACCCTAGGCTTAAAGTAAGCACGACTGGTCAGAACAAATGTAACGTTGTAGACAACTTTTCATCTGGTATGGATGGAAATATACATTGGGAAATCAGATGTTATTTTCAGTAAAACAAATATTAACACACCGAAAATATGTAGATAATAAAAACTGCTGAACGCTCAGTGGTATGCTAGAAAGCAATTCTTCTTACTCCTATCTTGAAAATACTGACGTTTCTTCTCTTCTCATAATGCGGCAAGTAATGAGTTGAACCTCCAATGTCTTTTATTATTATTGTTGTTCCCTTGGGTTTCGAATGATAAACTGAGTTTCAAAAGGCCGTCTAAACTCTGTCTTATTCCCCGAGGTTCCCTTTAGCTGGTCCCACTATTTCCCATAGTTTCTGATCTCCTCCTTACACGACCTTCAAACACACACCCCACTTGTGTTTTCCCATTCGGGATCCACTTGAGGGCCTGGAGCGCGGTGATGCCGTCCGACGGTCTCCTCAGAGTGTGTCCAATCCATCTCCATTTCCTTTGGAATATTTGTTGAGCAATAGGTCTTTAGTTGTTTCGTTCCCAGAATTTCTTGTTGCTAATCCTTTCTCGCTGGCCAACAGATGTTCAGTACGGAACCAGAGGTGGCAGATGTTGATGGAAGTCTGCAGCAGGCTGTTATAAATCCTTTCCATGACGCGTTACACTTCAGACCCATATATAGAAGCACTGACTTAACATTAGTGTTGAAAATATGAATTTTATTGTCTATTGGATGGAGGATTTCATCATGAGCTGACATCAGTTAGAGAACCACTGGAAAACCTGCAAGGAGTACTGGAGAGCTGTTTCGTCCTAGTTTTTGTTTATGCCACGGAGTGAAGAAGATCTTCAAACTGATTTCATAGTGATGCTGATAACTTTTCGACGATTCCATTTGGAAAGCAAATTACCTCTACTCTTCACATTCATACTCAGTTAAACAGAAAATGATCAACAAATGTGAAATAAAAAAATAAATAAACTTACCCAAATATCAAATTTTCCAGGATAAAGACGTTCAGGAATACGCAATGCATAAATTGCAGCCCCTGATATGTAGAGCACAGCCATTAGCACAAGCCAACCAAGCGCAGAATAACTGACACCTTCCCAAAAGCCTTCCATTAGAATATAATGTGTACACGGAATTATACCCGACAAACCAAGGGAAATGAATAGGACTAGAAGGGAAGATACAAAAGCAGATAAATTTATTTATCATATGGTCAAATACAAACTATTGGATTTGTAAAAAAGAAAGGACAACACTGGTTTTCGGTCACACAAATATACAATGAAAAGAAGCAGCTACCATGGTTGCATGTATGCGTTGGTGGTGCGGCGATAGAATGCCATGACTGACTGGTTTCAACACAGGACTTTGCACTGATGTGCAGCAGTTCGAGTCGCCACACTTCACTCAGCACACAAAACAAGAGAAGAAAGTAAAAAGAAATGCAAAATAGAGACAGTAAACAGAGATATGAGGCAAAAAGAATAGTAATATCGAAGAACAATATAGTTTTATTGGATATTATAAGTCACAAGGAGTGGATGCATCTGTGCCAGACAGCCACTGAGAACGACTTTGAGGCATATCACCAATTGTCTCCAATAGAGCCGTTGGTTTTTACCATCCCGAGGATCCCAACTAGACTGGTCTCTACAACTCCCTACGTGGCTTAAACTGTCGTGGATTTCATTGACTGATGAAGCCATGTTTTAGTTTGACCGCCACTAGCTCTATTCCAACCTGATCCTATATCAGCTAACACTTCCCACTGTCGAGGAAGGTGATGGGTGGCTAGGCATGCATAACACATGTGCTAACCATCTCAACCGATGTATCTTCACAGCCTCGTTGATCGTTTTCCCCTCCTCACCTAGCACTTGACTGATGCCTCACCTCAATATTGCTCACCGTATTATACCACTTCACACGGGAGATAGAACTCAGGCACCTATGATCAAAGACAGCTAGCCTTTTCATATCTTCCACTCTCAATGGCCATGTCTCGCTCACAGCCACAAAGGAGGACAGAGCGGACTGCTGAGCAGTACACACGCCCTTTGATCGACAGGCAGCCGGATATCACGTCTACTAAGCCAGAGATGGTGTAAGCTGACATATGCCAAACGAGCCTTCCGTATTTGTGCTGAGATTTCGTCAGCGATCAACTCTCTGGCGTTGGCTGATGCAAATTCCCAAATAAGCAAAGTGGTCATCGCGCTCTACCACTTCACTCCCCATCTCAAAGCTAGGAGTCAATCTAGTCCAGAATGCTCATCAACCACGGACATGGTCCGGGGTTCAATCTCCGGTAGAAGCACTCCTAAGCCCAAATTAGTCAGTATGAAAAAGATGGTATTGTAGAAGGAAGGTTGGGTATTAGGCTAGTAACCCCACTCCTTAAAAGATAAACACTAATGCTACTGAAACTTTAAAGCTCAAGCTTGAAGTCCTATATGTTCGTTCGACTCGGAACATAAAGGAAGAATAAAATAAATAAATAAATTTTCAAGTACTACTTTTGTAAGGAATTTTTTTGATTGGTTGGAGGAATTCATTATGAGCTGACATCAGTTAGAGAAGCATTGGAAAACCAGCTGGGAGTACTGCCAGACAGCTGTTTCGTCCTAGTATGGGACTGGATCGGGTCCCAGTGGCTTAATGGTCTACGAGCTCGCCTTGTAACCAGGCCGTGATGAAGAGTCCCAAACTAGAACGAAACAACTGTCCAGTACTCCCAGCTGGTTTTCCAATGCTTCTCTAACCAATCGATGTCAGCTCATGATGAAATCCTCCAACCAATCAAACAAAATTCCTACAAAACCAATACTTGAAAAATTGATCTGATGCTCACTAGCGACTGACCCCTATTCAGGCAGTTAACCTGGGGTTCTAGTGAGAAGCCGTGACCAGTAGGGTACAGTAAGTTGAAGGTGAGGCAGTAACTCATCCAAGAAGACATTGAGAAGTGGTCGTGCTATGTCATGAAATAATATAAATATTGGTTGCGTATGGGAATATGAAAAACTCTATCAATAATAAGTCAATTAAATACAGCTAGTTCTTAAATTACACATTTAGAAAGTGAAGACACCGTCATTTTGACCACGATTCTGAAGCTTAAAGAGGTCTTAACAAAATACAATAATATGAACAGTATATTAGAAACTTCATATTTTTAGGGTCAGTATATGTACATTTTTTAATTGACATTATTTCACATCCGTCAACAATTAAGCCTTCTAAAATTGACATTAAGAATCGTTAACTTAAAAGAGTTGAAATTCAATATGACTTCTTCTCCTTCTTCTTTCCCACATTAGAAGATTAGAGAGAATTAATTTTGTGAACCGTTTCTTGACCAATGTGAATGCAGTAGGCCTTGTGTTAACCAACATCTGATCTAATACAAATTAGCATAGATTGAGACTGCTCATTAAGGAGATTTTCAGGAGTTTATCTAACAACCAGTCCATGATTTTTGACAGTAATGAAACTCTTGGAAGGCTAGATTTTATTGATACGGCTTTCTCTTTTGGAGTAGCGCAAAAAAAAATAGAACATATCCACCACACTATGATATACGTACTTTTATCACTAAATTTATAATAAAAAAAAGAAACGTGTATATTTTCACAGTTTAACTTACGTGCTCTAGCTACACGATACGCTGGACTGAGAAAATAATCTTGTGTACAAACAAAGGCGCAGATTGATCCAAGTATCAGCACAGCCGTAATATAAACAAATTTGAATGGTTTATGACAATAGAAAGAATAGTGAATCCAAGGGACAAACGAACCGATAACAAGTAGCGCAATCCCCATATAATCCAATCTAGACGGGTACAGAATACCGGAAAAATTGTTCGTAGGTTATTTTTGTTACAATAAAGATACACAATTAGTGGAAAAATGCATTTAAAATCCAGAAATGAATATGTATTTAAAAAGCATAGTGGTCTAAGTTTATGATGTGGTTAGTTTGAAGAGTGTTTCTATAAAAAACAATCACGTTTATAAGTAGAGAATGGGTATATGAATAAGTAAAAAGCTCATCGATACGATGTGTGCTCGCAAAATCCGCGAATCACTTCACACTGAATCTTCACAGCTGTAAAATACTACGCGTTTCAAGCAGATATACATTACCAATAAATATCATAAAAGTTCAAGTTCCCACCTCTAGAATTCGCACATCAAGTGAAGGGTGGTACCATGTGTGACAAAGAAATGAAAATCACAGAGTTAAAAGTGATAAAAAGGAACACTTCATGACAGTGATACAGTTTAGAACAATGGTAGTCAGGTTTTACGGATCAATATAATGTTATGGTTTTGGACTAGATGGAATGTGCCAACTAATACTGGATATGTCTCATTGGGGAGCTATGCTTTACAATTTACCTCTGTTTTGAATGGTAGATGGTATTGTTAGCTCTTTTTCTCACTCTTTCAAACAGAAACACACACACGCACTGATGAACGCACACAGAAGGTTGTGATCCGCAAAATTAATATATAAACCCCTAATCAACTAGTCAATAAAAACTTCTTATAAATCCTCATTAGGTAAAAAAAATGTGTTTAAGATGACTCCTAAATTAGAATTTCGCTTTTGTCACTGTGATGACATAAAAAACCGCTATTATGATATAAGTGAGTTAAACTTAGCACAAGATATAAAAATACACAAAATAACGTTAATACCCACTTTCACCTATAATAATTTTCTAACTATTAAGACGTTTCATTTGAAAATAGCTAATAAAATATGACAGAAATGTCAGTCACTAGCACTCTTAGCAAGTAGTTTAATTTCACAGATATGACATATTTATAGCATCTAGGATAATGGATCTTTACACAAACACCCATATAACCTAATAAATCACCATAATTTGTAAAATGAGCACGGATCAGATAGCAATGATGTACTAACACACTTTCGAAGGTTCACATATTGATCAAATTAAATGACTGAATCTAGCATATTCAAAGCAAATGGAGAGTATATTATCATCAATGAACGAATATTTCCATCCTCTTTCAATTTATTCTATAGAATGGTTACTATTTAATGTAATGGATAGATAAGTGAAACTTTCTCCAACTTCAATGACACTAAAAACTACGGCCAATTAATAAAAATCAAGAGTGCATTTCAAGACAATGTAATATTAGAAGTGGTGTTGTAGTAACATGGATGACAAAAGAATTCCCTCCAAAAAACCAAAATTCATTTGCAAATTTTCAAGAGAACAAGACGAAAATTCACAATAGTTTCCTGTGAGAACCATAAGTATCCTGACCACAATAAACAACCTGATAGATTCTACATACGACAATCAAAATAGCAAGTCAAAATACCACTGATTGATAAGAGCAGTTGCGATTCTCTGAAGTCAACCAGTAGAGCTTACTAGACAGGTTATTTTTTTTTTTTTTTTTTTTGATTTACAGCTTGATTCCACACCGTACTTTTCAGTACAAGTATGGAATTTTCAGCATGGATATCGGTAGCCCAAATTCAGGCCGACCATAGATATCGGGTGTGCGCCGGCAGGGGATCGAACCCCGGACCATGTGCATGGTCGGCGAGAGTCCTAACCACTGTGCCACCGACGCACAAAACACAACTCAAAACAAGCGAGATGGTGTTTACATAAATGTACTGTAGATTTCTTACTGTTTCGCCTTTCTTGAGTGTCATTCATAGGTTGGAACTGAGTGACCACCAACCAGTACTGAGCTGTGAGCCATACTTACTGCATGAGGGCGGCTGATACTACGCAGTTGCCCAAGCTGAAGTAAGCAGAGTGAGATTTGAACCCGAGACCCAAGTCAGGTGCATAAGCCAATGACCCACACCCCGAAGATCGCCAATCACAGTATCAAGCAGATCAAATGGATTGACTGCTGACACGATCTCCACACATATATCAAAGATTCCTTCGAAATTTGCCTTATCACTCCAACATGACATTAGATTGTCAATAAGTTAGCTTCGTCCTGATAAAAGTATGACATCAGTCTATGCAATCTGTGACTACTGGTGTGAAACAAGGTGTATAAATAACCCAGTTCATGTCCTCGGGATGTTGTAAGTCAGCGTTTGCAGACCCTTGTTGACGCCTAAAAATCGTTCACATTGCTTAGAATGAAATCGCTCCTTATGAACTTTCAGATCCTGAAAATCTTCATTGTTCTTCATCTAATTATTCCTTCACCTGCCCACTGCATTTCCTTTTTTCTACTTTTATGTGCTTTTTCGACGTGTAACAGCTTGAACTGCTGTAGCTTTGCGCACAGTTATAAGTTCATAGGTCAGTCAGTCAGTCAATCAGCCAGAATCCAGGTCTGAAGTGATTCGGTTCTCTGAGTTGAATCAACTCGGATTCACCACCAGTGAGCCCAGAACAAAATAAATGATACGGTCGTCAGATGTTTAGACCACGTTGATTAGACTAGCAAATACTACTAATGTTTAAGATGTGGCTTCTAACTACTGATGTATATTTTCTAAAAAACTAATTATGTGCGCTGAGTATTAAAATAAGACAATTCTTTGAAAGCTTGTTACACCAATATATCTCTGTAGTAGTCTAATAATAAATTCAGATCTAGTAATCATAGCATGCCATCTAAAATGCATGTCGGTAGCTGAAGAAACAATAGTAGTAATTTCGCATAAAACGACCAATGGGATACAAAGAAGTAAATATTCATAGTTAAGATGAGTGAAATCCCTGACATACACATACACCCGATATTATCAAACCTTGATGGTTATCATAACTAACTCTCTTCCTCACTAATTGAACTTTTCCTCTGTCGTCTATTTAGATGACCCCAAAATGCTTCTCAGCAAACATGTCCACGTTAATACACTAAACCACAGATGTACTCTATTGTATAAGAACAACTACTAAACAGTTGCTTAAGTTCAAAACCAAAATCATCATCTAGTAGGAAGCTAAATGTATGCTTTAATAGGCTCTAGTTCATGAAACTTGAGTCATTAAACAAATTGCTTCACTTTGATTGGACATTAACCAGTGTCATGCCCCTAGACCTTCATTTGTAGACTCAACCATATCAGTCGAGTTTGCAATGCGCCTACTATGCTAGGTGGCTTACTGACGATCACCTGTAACCATCTAATAAATTGTTTCACATTCAGGTTTATGACCATGGGATCAACGCATACAACACATCAGGCATCTATAAAAATGGATAATACACTTATTGGTAGAGACATTCGACTTACTTATTAAATAATTTACCGACACGCTCTGAATGACAATAAACGGTATGAAATAGCCAGGAAAATCCAAGTGCAAGGATTGCACTGACGAAAAACACTTGGACAACCATTTTTTCCTGCCAATGAATATCTAATCCAGGACGAACCAAAAATGATATACTTAGTATCAGGAAGCATATGAAACCTAGAAGAAAAAGAAATATTTCGACAAATAAGTGGAAGTCAAAATGAAGAAAGATTAATTTAAGTGGATAACTATCTCAGACCTGTCCTTGTTAGTTTAAAGTCGGTAAAACTTAAGCCTCAACGCATTTTAAAATATGGAGATTGTACGGTTTTCTACTTTTATTTTGTTGTTATTATTCATAATGACGATATGGAGAAGGGGATCCATAAAACTAATTCAGCTTCAGAAGTCATACTTGGAACTATCGATAGATGAATTTCGAGACAAGTCAAACATAAACTTTAGATGTGTAAGAATTTACTTTTATATTTCCTTATTAATTACTCTGACAGCAGTTGGTGTAGTCTAATTATTTTATTATATTTGATGGTACCCCATGACTGTAAGAACTTTAAACTTGTCATTTGTTTACCAGCCGTCTCCAGGGTTTGAGTCGGTGGATATTTACCTTAATGTTGATCACACGAAAGGAAATTAAATTCCATGCCATACAAAGGTTGCCCCGGTCAAAACCACTTTATACTGAATACATTCAAAGTACAAAGTCAAGTTCAGAGAACAGTTGTACGTTTTCAACAATAGATTGCGGATTTCGACCCAAGCAATTACAAAGCGATATAGGATTTACCTGCTAAAATTAATTTTATTTGTGTAGTTCAATATTTTGAGTGCGGCCAGTGGCAAGCCTGCCCTGATTTGTATTGTATGAACTCTTCACAAAGATTGTTACTATGAGGATTCCACTACGAGACAGGTATACCTAATCTTGAGAATGCCAGCTTTAAAATAATGCTTTTTTTCCTTTTTACTGTTTTTATTTCTGTAGAGCACAGAGATCTCTCAAACGTTTTCTAAAGTGACGTTTTACTGCAGAGTAATGGAGTCTGTCAGATTTACCAACGTGGATGGTTTACGTTTGCTTTAGAGCTTAACATAGCAGACTAACATTATTCGAATGCATACCATTCATCAGTACTTATTGACTCGTTGGAAAATCTAATTCAATGTTAAGGTGATACATGGATAAAGATGATGGTAACTTGCCTATAAGATGCGTCCATATATTCCCTGTTTCTGTATGTAGTCGGAAAATGGAACGAAAGCACTCGCGAAATGAAGGAAGCTGAGGTCGATGACCACGCAGAAGGAAGTCATTGTCCTTTAACCAGTGGGGTAAGCTATGATGGTGAACAACTTTCCAGCCCTGTTTCCAGAGATGTATAACAAGTTCTTCTGCATGTTCCACAGCTCTACTAGCAGCTTCCCCAATCTCATGAGCAGCATACGTAAAGTAATCACCACCATAGCTTGCAGATCGACGATGAGAAGACAGTGGAGAATGATTTGTTTTTAAAACACTCAAAGACTTCAAGTCTGAAACAGAAGAGTTTATGTCCCACGGCTGTTGTGCGGCATAAGTACTTGTGGTCGACTGACTTGAAGAATCACTGAAAAGACAGAAATCTGGAAATTTCCGCCTCCTAACCCCAGATTGAGATATCCAGTCAACAGCTGGTTTATTTCCTGTTAAAGATTCGCACGAAGGTGATGAATTGAAGCGAGCAGATCCCTCGGAATGCATACGCCTATGTTTACCACGCATACTTTGCTTCTCAATCTAACACGTAAATCAAAATCTTGAGACAGGTTAAACCTACATACCTGTTCAGAACATAAATGGCGAAGGTTTTCTGGGGAATTAACTGGTAACTTCAATTGACCATCCATCATAAAGTGAGCATACACGAAACAACCGCCAAAGTCAGCTGATTGTGGTCAAATGAACGTAATGAGATGCATGCCTCAACATAACAAAATGCATAAATCAAATCACAGAAATTTCACAAGTGAATTTGAAGCTTTAGTGACTTATGATCTGAATAAACCAATAATTACTCCACAAGTGGCCAGCGACCTGGATGAATGTAAAGAAGAAACTACAAGACATTTGACAGGAAAAATTTCGAGTTGATATGGGTGCCCAAATAAATGTAATCCAACTGACACCAGATGAAAAAGGCCACTAGCAGCTACCCTGGTTCTAAAAGTTAAATTTTGGGGGTCCTAGTAGGAACTTGTTATTTCCCTAACATCACATGCAGATTCAGATTTATTGGTTGAGGATAGTAAATTTTTGTGCTTCTCCAAACCCTTCTTGAATGAGTCAGTTGAGGTTGTAGACAAAACTTTGTCTGGGAGTCGGTTCCAGGAGTTTGTGACTCACTGTGAGAACCATTACTGCACAGCATCGGTGGCACAGTGGTTAGGACTCTCGCTTACCATGCACATGGTCCGGGGTTCGACCCCCTGCCGGCGCACACCCGATATCTATGGTCGGCCTGCAAAATTTGGGCTACCGATATCCATGCTGAAAATTCCATACCTGTACCTAAAATTTTAAACACTGTGATTAAATCTCCTCTCTGCCTACGGTATGACAGGGAGAAGAGATTTAAACTGTCTAGTCCTTCCTCGTATGATAAGTTAGTCATGCTGAGGACCATACATGTCACCTTCCTTTGGACCCTTTCTAGAATATGTGAGTCCCCTCTAAGACAATGACTGGCTGCCTGGATACAGTTTTCTAGTCTTGACCTCACCAGAGATGTATATAAGGAGGTGAACATATCTCTGGTGATTCTAGCAAAGGCTCTGCGAATCGCCCATAAGGACCTGAAACTACGTGCAGCCACCGCGCGACAGTGTGCTGTAATTTTTAAATCGTGGCTAACTATGACACCTAAGTCCAAGTGAGTCTGAAGTGATGGAAGTTTTATTCCCTCTAGTTCGTAGGAGCTGGTGCTTGCTTTTCCGATGCGCATGGTTGCACACTTTGCCACATTGATGGGGAGCACCCATTCTATGGACCACTCTGACAATTTGTTGAGGTCCTCTTGCAACGTGAACGTATCATTGTTGCCCTTCAGCCCTCTCCAAATCTTTAAGTCATCTGCGTATAGGACCATAGGGGAGTCGGTGAGCAGAGATAACTCAATGATATACAAAGTAAATAGGAGAGGTCCGAGTACCGTGCCTTGTGGCACTCCACAGCGTACTGCTTTCCAAGAGGAGAGTTTCGAGTTTATCCTAACCCTCTTATCTATTAGGAATTCCCTGAGCCAGTTTAGTAATCTGCCTTTGATACCAAGACTTTCCAACTTCATGAGTAATCTTCTGCGAGGAACTTTATCGAAGGCCTTGCTGAAGTCTATGAAGACGACGTCAACGGGTCTTCTGTTTTCCACTGATTTGACCAAGAATTATCTTGCAGTGAGGAGGTTTGACAGGTATGAGAGGTTTCCTCGGAAGCCATGCTGTGTTCTGTATAAAAAGCTCTTGTTTTCCAGATATGCAATGATACTTTTTGATGATCATTTCCCGTGTCTTGATTAAGGTGCTGGTGAGACTAACAGGCATGTAGTTTGAAGGACTTTGTCTTGATCCTCTTTGTGGATGAGGTTTACTATAGTATCTTTCCAGTCACACAGTTACACTCCACTTAAGAGAGAAAGCTTGAAGGTCGTAGTCAGTAGGCCGCCTATTTGAGCTGATAGCTTCTTCACTTTATAAATATATATATAATTCCTGTTTATGCAGGAACATACCAATTGTACAGGCATGGATAAGTTATTATATAAACTACACATATTTCGATGTATGCTGAATTTACAGTTTGGTTGTTCTTTCTGACATTAGATTCAGCCGGAAAAGTCTGCTAAATAGTCTGTCTGTGTAACACATAAAGAGATATAGAAATATTGTCTTCGCATTAACAAAAACCCAGACATCAGATGAATGTAACACAAATATCTGGAAAAAATAAAGCTTGAAGTCAGTTCTCCTATATAACTTTGTTGTGAACAGTATCCTTGACTTAAAGCTTAATGATGTATTATGTTGAGATCAGTGATGTATTCATTCCATTGTTTTCAGAAGTCTTGTCATAGTTATATAACAGGAAAGAAATTTGATCGTGGATACGGAAACCAGATAAGGTCATATTGGATTGTTTTACGGTACCAAATAGGGCCGAGGTCGATTCCATTTGTGTCTGCATGACAGACTGTACACGTAAGTTGAGTAATACATTGAAAGCTGTTTGAAAACCAGTTGCTTCTTTATTTCATGAATACTCCTTGTACAGAATGTTTGCCAGCGTCTTCAAATGGTAGCATGGGATCGTTCATGGAATTTGAGTGGTTATGAGCCATTAGCCTGAGTTGAGACGTGTGAATTCACTTAAATGGTCTGAAGTTCAGCTTCACTTCAGTTTAAATGTAGGGTTGTTCGACCTCGACCAGAAGGTAAAAAGAAGAGTAGGCGCAGCAGCAGAATACCAGAAAGAGAAATTATGTGAACATGAAAAGAACATTTATGTTTCATGCATATATAAATGTTTATGTCGATTGTACATCACAGTATAGTAAACATTTACCTATAATCTAGTTGTTTTTTCATGTATTTATGCGAAGTCTTAGTTTATTTAGTGTCATAATATTTAGTTATGAGTCTAGGCGTTATAGTGTTCTAAAATATAATGCGCTTTAGAAATAAGTGGTTCGGTCTGATTGGAATAATCATTGGGATGAAACAGTTTATATAGCAAGCGCTTAAAGCTTACAGTAGAGTGACAGGTCCTTATTTCTAGGGGTAAACTGATCCAGATCTTAGAATACATGACTATGAAGAAGTTTGCACGGAGTGCTGTTTTACAGCTTTTCCTAGATACTGTGCATGTTTGGTTACACAGATTGTAGGAGCCTTCCGGTAAGAACTGTATCTCCTTGCTGTCTGAGAATGATATTTTATGCAAGCCTTTAAAGAAGAATGTTAGATTAATGCTGAGTCGTCTCATCCAGAGTGAGTCGATACCTAGAGTTATACACCTTGATGTGTAGTCCTTTTCGCAGTCAAATCCTAGTAGTTTAGACGTGAAGTATCGTTGGACACTTTCTATTTTAAGCCTGTCACATACACGAGTGCTGCTGAGAATGAATGAACAATATTATAGTAGTGGTCTGACACATGTTTTGTATAATATAAGTTTCGCTTCGTAGTTGTGGAAATTCCTGAGTATGCATCCTAAGAGCATCCTCGATTTACGCATCTGCGTTGCCACTTGCTCAGAAAATGTCAGGTCACTAGAGTACCTGAGTCCTAGGTCAGCAACACTTTGGAGTTTAGGCAAGTCAATAGATTCAAGTACCAGTTTGATATTTATTGAGGGTGCACCGAAACAGATCCAACCACATATTTTAAGGTTGAATTTTAGGTTCCATGTGGAGGACCATGCAGTTACTCTATCTAGTTCTTCCTGAACAGCTTTCTGAAAGTATCCTAAGTCATCACAGTGAAATGTGTAAGCTACTTTAAGATCATCTGCAAAGATGAATGGTTTACCAAGTGAGAAACGGCTGCATATGTCGTCGACATATAGAGTGAATAGGAGGGGGCCTAAGACACTACCTTGAACTACTCCAGAAGTGACTGGACGAGGTTTAGAGTTTACAGACCCCAGTCTAACTACTTGGGACCTATTGTTAAGGAATGACTCAAGCCATCCTAATAATGGGTTACGTATTCCTAAGGAGTTCAGCCTATTTATTAGAAGCAAATGGTCAACGCGGTCAAAGGCTTTGGAGATGCCGAAGTAGATGACTAGTACTATTTGTTTTCTGTATCGGCTACTGGTTATATAGTTAGAGAAGTCAAGGTGACAGGTCATGCATGATCTGGATTTAGGAATCCATGTTGATTGGGACTTAGAATATTGCAGCTGAGCATATGTTTGAGAATATCACCTTTAACTATTCTTTCCATAATTCTAGATGCCATGGGTGTGATATTGATTGGCCTATAGTTGTTGACCTCAGTTTTCGATCCGCATTTGTGTTTGGGTGTTATAAATGTGGTTTTCCATTTGTTTGGATAGGTTTGGCTTTCTAGGGACATTGTAAAGATCTTAAGTAATAAAACGGAAATGTCAGAACCACCGTGTTTATAAAGATACGATGGTATACCGTCAAAACCGGCACTACTAGAGCTTTTAAGAGTATTAATGGCTTGGTTAATATTAGAATAAGTGAAATGAACTGTAGTGATTTGTTCCAGCGCTGAAAAAGAAGGGAGTTCCATTGTAGATTGTAAACCAAGAAGTGGGCTTATGGGCTTAAGCTAGTTAGCTGAAAACGTCTCGTTAAACAGTTCACACATGTCTGCATGGTTGCTGTATAGTTTACCCTTGTTTATAAAGAGAGAGATTTTATGGCTTTGGCGATTCATTCGTTTCTTTAGTATTTCTGTGAGAGCACATACTCTGGTGGTGCTACCTAGTGCGGTGCATTCTTCATTTCTCATACGCAAGTTATGAGCTTGCGAGATGGAGCTAAGAGTATTGACCCTAGTGTACTAAAGTCGTGTCGTCTGAAGTAACTTGTTGACAGTCTTTTCAGTTTTGGGCGATCTTTTGGTTGAATAAATTTCTTCTTAAATTTTGAGACTTTTATTGTTTGCAATGGGATCATAGCGTCTAAGCATGTGCTTGAGTGATGGTAGAAGATGTCTAGAGCTTTCGAGAGGTTATCACTATAGAAGTACTCTCTCCAATCTGAGGATCTTAACATTGATTTCAATAAAGTCCAATCTGCCTTACTGTAGTTCCTGTATGTTATTTGTTGTGAAGTAGGGGTATGGGCTGCATTGCAACTTGGTGGAATTGGCAGTGCACACAGCACTGTTTTGTGGTTGCTCCCTGAAAACTCAGAATCTATTAAGGTAGAAAGGGGACTTATATTGTGGCAGAAGATTAAGTCTAGTACGTTATTACCTCTTGTAGGGGTTGTGACAGTCTGTTTCCAGACAAGTATATCCAGTGTGCCTAAGAACTTATCAAATTTAGTTGGGCCTGTGGGTATATCCCAGTTGATTTCTGGTAAGTTAAA